CACCGCGCTTTAACACTATTAGCCAAGCAACAAACTTTTACAAAAGTGCATTTCGTCTCTAACACTGTGCGTCAAAAAGCAAGATGTAGAAGTAATATATGCTATAAAACCATTACAAAAGAAAAAGTAACACTACATTATGCCAATGAGAGTTTTGGCTTAGATTTCTCGTCCAATTTCTGAATTAGTGCTGCGAATATTCGTTGTATTTACTGAGTGCGAGAAGACGCATAAGAGTTCAATAGAACAGAATCAGTCGTCAATTTATGTTAATCACGTTGTTAATCAGAAGTACACGCCAAGTATAACCATGGCAACATCATAGCAACGTGATACATTCAGCTGAGCATGCATGGAATTTTCGGAATGTAGCTACACAATCTGCTGGCCACAGACGGGTGTGCATCGGTGATTAGTTCATTTGCATGCTGAATATCGCATATTTTTCTTTCAATAAATCGACCGTACTATTTGTTTGGAGAAGATGGCCTCTCTTTAATACAATATGGACACTGATTGAATAGGGTGGGTTACATATATATGTAAATTACCGGAATGATTAAAGTTGATGACGACACGCAATTAAAGAAATACCGACCGTCTACTAGGCATCGTCAATGGGGCTATCGTTGTTGTTTTGTTTTTGTTTTTGTCAATTGAACGTAGACATTCAATTTGTTCGAGTCTGGTGTTTAGAATATTTCATGACCGGCGGGGTTACGAAGTTGACGTTGTACTTTCATGTCAGCATGTACTACATGAAAAACACGGAGATATGCCCTTTGAGAAATTTTACCATGAATACACTACAAAGCATTTGCTTTTGAGAATAGGCGTCCTCCATATAGAAAAAGGTCGGCTGATAAGAGTTAATTTCATTGAGAGTGAGAGATATTATTAATGATATTGAAAATAACCGCATTGATAATATACAAATATTTCAAAAGGCATGAAATTCTGTTTAGGTCGTGCATGGTTTGCTCCCACTTTCAAGTATTATATGTGTATATATACATATAAATAGAGATTATATTAAACCACCATTATGTTAAAGCTTACAATGACACAGCGGTCTCTGAATTTTAAGGTTGGTTAGCATCGACTAAATAGTTAATGAAATTCTCGACTTACACCGGCTACAGCATGCGTGTAATCAGGTCAACCAATGGTGATGGGCACAATTATTTCCTAGTCTAACGCATAATTTCATGACATCATGTTCGGCTTGACAAAACGATTTGCCGGTCTTTTTTTTTAAATTGCATATTTTACTATGTAAAATGTTCTCGACTACCTGCATACTACGTGTTAATTTTAGCACTATGAACTGGGATTGCTTTCTTTTTGCCTAAATATAACCCAAAACAAGAATACCAAAGCATCAGATGAATGGTCAGTCAACTGAGATACGAGGGCTAGACCAACGCGTCCAGCAGCGATGGTAGCAGCGGCGTTACAGTCGATTGGCGGACAGTGCACGTAACAGTAGTAAAATAATAGCAACCACATGTCAGTTTCATTGCGCCGTGCTCGAAGAAAAAACAAAGCATAACTGCTACGGCCTGGCGCTGGCGGTTACTATGCCAACCATCACATGTAACTACACATAAGCGATAAGTTACAAGTTGTGTTCGGGATATCAGTTAGCCATATGCACGCTGCTACGATAAACCAGATCACGAACAGATACCAATAGCCTTAAAAAATGAAACGTCCATGCCGCCGGCAAAAAAAGATAACAACGTTTGTTTGAAATGCGCACAACGCCGAGTAACTTCCGGGGTTGCCAATTTAGTGTTTTAAACCATTAAATTCCACAGTCACGTGACTGGTTAAATGTTTTATAGGGAAATTGGTTTGTATTGCAATTATGATATGCTGACGTAAAGATTCAGTGTTTAATCATTGAGAAAGTATGCATAATGACGAGGCTATTTGCATAGGCATCGCCATAAAAGGCGCTATCACGTCCATCGAAATACGTTTAGACCGTTTAGAAAACAACGTAACGCTGTTATCATACAGTCAGCCAGTGGTTAGATTTTTTAGTAAACTAGCATCATACTAGTACTGTTCTCAAAGCGGTGATGACAATTACAAGCAATTACAGTACCATGGCAATAAGGGGCGACAATTGACAATATGTAGTAAAGGAAAACAGTGAAATTAAAATGAATAGTTTTTAAAAACACGGCATTATTGGAATGCTTGTATTGTGGCGTACGTTACCTACCTACAAATGCTCACACTATCCCCTCGTTGTCAGCAACACATTGTAATAAATGACCCGATGGTATAAATACACAAACGCCATAATAATTCGCCACGTGCTTTCAGCCAATACTACATAAACGGCACGCTACATACATATGTGACAATTCGTAGCCCCTCTGGGAAAACTGACTTCATTATCACCATAGCGACAGAGCAAAATATGCTCGCTATAGATACCATACGCGTGGGTATCACACGCAGTACAATGTACAATGTAGGCAAGGG